CCCCAAAACCCCAAAACCCCAAAACCCCAAAACCCCTTGAGCCAAATAATATGTAAAATAAGAAGATTAATAGAAATTATTATTTAACATTCATAAGAAATCATATTGCCCTATTGATGTACTTAGGGGTTATAAGTTCTTTGGTACTTGTTTGAAGAGATATGTTTTTCATGTCTGGGCCATTGTTAAAACTAGTTTCAGCATCTTTCAAATTTTTCAACAAAATTCTCAACTTTTGATTTCGCTTCGGAGAATATATTTTGGATTTAGTAGCTAGAACATTATGCAATCTATTATTGGCAATGTCTAAGACTTATTGATTAATTAAGTCAAGCTTTTTAGGTAGCTATACGCTATTCTAAGTTTAGTTTAGATTTTATCTGAATTACTTAAGCTCAGTACTGAATGACTTAGATATATCCTTCCTTCTTTATTGTGCAAGTATCTAATTTGACTTATTTTTAAGTAGCTGGGTTTAATTTAAGCTAAGAGTTGATATTCTAGGTTCAAGCTTCCTGTTTTTGAAGGATTATTGACTTTAGCTGTAGTTAAGCTTTCTAATCTCTCTTATATTTCTAATGATGAAGCTGCTCTATGATCTCTCGTTAATATCCTTTCTCTTAACCTCATCAAGTAAATTATTGTTTGTTCTAAATAGAGAACACCTAGATGTATTATTGGCAGTTGTAATTCGAGATTACTGTGATTTAAGTTGTTTTCTCTATGCTCTTAAATCTACGAGTTTTTTAACAAATGGTTGTAAATCTACAGGTTTTATCTAATTAATCACATTTAGTTCCTCTTATGTTTTTACATCTCTATCAATGTCCAAGACTATTAATGGATCGATGTTTTTAAATAGTTTTTATTAGTTTAACTTGATAATTGACTTCTAATGATATTTTGGAGAAACTGGGGTAGATTTTAATATACTCATCATGTTAATTGATTCGTTGCTATAGAGGACTACATTTCAATTCTTGATGGGACTACCTACAAGGGGTTAGCCTTTCATCTGTCTTAGTTCAAATTACGCTTGCTCCTTGATGCTTTAATTATTTAGGTCAATAGCTCTAAATGCAGTTTGTCTATTTCTAAAAAATATTGATCTGTTGCCTTTCGCCTTAGGAGTATTTTAAAAAGACATGAATTATTTATTTTATTTTACGGAATTAATTCTCAACTATTATCTGAAAATTATCATAGTGGGGTTTTGGGGTTTTGGGGTTTTGGGGTTTTGGGGTTTTGGGGGG